TGAATCGTTTTGGTTCACAAGAGAGATGTATCTGGTAGTTTTGTTAAGTTCGGTTAAATTACAGGTTCCTAGCCAAATATAAAATGTGATGTTTTTGTGTTGATGACAGATAGATGGTAATTCTTTTTCGGCCCAATCAATAGTTTGCTGTACTTTTTGTCCTTTTTTTGTGATAAATTTTACATTTAGGAAGTCTTCAGTTGTAATGGCTCTCTTTATGTAGTTGCCTTTACTATCAGATATAATTATGGGTTGGCTTTGGGCTGTTTTATCCTGAATATCTCTCTTATTTACTATGAAGTATCTGCTTGACTTTACAACTTTAGTCTCAGACATATATCAGTCTTTGTGGGAACAGAGGACTAAATTTTCTTTTATCTTTCAAACACAGGATATTGGTTGAAACACAAGTATAGTGTGTTTAAAAGTTTGATTAAACTATATATATATGCAATAAATAGATTTAGCAAGAAAATAAAATAAGAGAGGGGGGGTCTAGACTACAGACTATGTGGTCAAAAATTTAAACTTAACTAGAATGGAAAAAAATTATTTAACTGTTCGAAATGATTATAAAGATGTCTGAATTATTTATTTTAATTATTTATAAGTCACAAAAAGACTTAGACTTACTGTCTGAAAAAATAAAATTTTATTTGTCAAAATTCAAATATGGCGCTGGAAATTAAATGGCCGTCCGGCAAGGCCTGCAAGAAAAGTTAGCTGGAAACACCGTGCAATTTACAAAAATGCCTGAAGTTATTAGTTAAAACAAGGTATAGTGACCTATAATATTAAATTGTGAGGATGCAAGTGCAAATAAAGACTTAGAAACTCTCCGTATTTGGATCTGTGATCTGTGCAAAATCTTCGTGCTGCTATACAACGTCCATTCGGAACAGTCAAGTGACGTCAGGCAACAATCACTTTTTAATTGTGACGTCAAATGTTTTGAATTATGATGTCGAAGTTTACCGCAACCTGACGTGTGATTTTACGCAATGGCGGACAAATTTGCATACAAGTGTAAATACCTCTCTTCTGCGAGATTTTTTTATATATAATATGAGGAGTGTGTTACCTGTGAAAGAATACGAAGTCTGAAATAAAACAAAATGTAAATATATATTTTTTTTATTTAAAGGGGCATTAGCTACGAGATATAAAAAAAAATAAAACATTTTGCAGCCAGTTTTGTTCAAATTTGTCAAAATAGGCTAAAAAACATCGCTGATGAATTATTCACTTGCAAGTGAATAATTCGACCTCAGTGAATTCTGTATTTATGTGACCTTCTATTAACCCCTCAGCTATAGAGATGGATTACACATGAAATATGTGTGTTCAGCTATTAAAAGGAAAAGAATGTCAACATTGAAAGTGAAACAAGGGTAAACTGTTTGGTTGACTGATTCGATCCACCAAAACTGTTTCTTATACGGGTAAAAACGATGATTAGCATATTTTTTTAACCTATAATATGTGATCAAACAGACCTAGAAAAATCCAATTGTACGAGTTCGCTATCTATTTATATCTATATCTATGTTCATATCGGGTTATATGACCGTCGGCAGTATTCGGAGGTCACCTCGATGGTTAATTAGATGGCGTCTAGACTAAAATACACACGAAATGCTGATACATATTATCGAGTTCATCCATTGTTAATTGTTCGTTTTAGACTTCTTGTAAGTTTGATATACGTTTTAGAAGTTATAAATCAAATATGAGAATTTGAGTCAAATCGTTGAACATGAATTTGGTACCTAATGCCCATAAACTACAGGTGAATGTACTAAGGCCATCAATTATTTTTACATTTTACAAATTATGAGATTAAAAATACGAAAACATTACTATCATTTAAAAAAACAATCCGGGCTGGAGAATAAATAACCCTTAACCAAACAGCCAAACAATGAATTCCCATATAAGAATAAGGAGATGTGATATAATTAATTGCCAATGAGACAACTATTCACCAAAGTTCAAATGAAATGGTTGTAAGCATTTATGTGCCACTGTGCAGCCTTCCCAGCATATTTCTAATTTCTGTTGAAAAAGTAATACGGAAATACGGAACAATGAAATCAAACAAAACTTTTGCGTCAATCACGTGCTATATCCTAATCGTCACATAGAAGCACTGGTATAATCTTTTGAACATAGTCCACGAAGGTTCAAGCCTCAGTTGCTAAAGATATTTCTCAGTTATAAATATTTTTAAAAATAACCTCTGCTTGTATATTACATCGACAGATCCAGGGGGTGTTCCGTGGGATGGAAGCACCCCCCTTTTTTTCGATTTTTTTTTTATTTTGTGAACGTTTCATGGTGTTCCGGGGGTTGAAACACCCCCTTTCAAAATGGCTGGATCTGCGCCTGTATTAGTATAAATTTGAAATGCAGGAAAACTAAGTCCATCTTTCAGTAAAATTCGAAAGAATGAAAAAAAAATATTTTCAAAATTTATGTCATGCATATATTATCGCTCAATCATCAATCTATTTAAAATATAGATCTCTGATTTCGTTATCCTCATATGTACGAGCACGCAAGTTGATATAGGTCTGAATTTTAATCAGATTGGCTCAATCATCTGCCCAAGTTTTATAACATTCAATTAAAATAATTAATAAAAAAAAGTTCTTTGTTTACTTAGTATTCAAGATCTGGTTGTTTTAAAAACGAATTCATATAAGTTCAGGTATTGGGCACTGCTGAGGTACCTTAAGGATGTACTTAGGTGAAATTAAAAAAATCAAGATTTCAAAATTGATACTATAAGTCGGAAGAGCATTAGTTAAGGAACAAAATAAGCTAAAAATATTGATAGGTCATGGAGCTCCTTTTCGAGATATTTGATTTTTAAAATATGGCGGGAAAATGCTGACTCGGACTTTTACCTTATATTTGCATTGGTATTATTTGGGTCTCAAATCAAAAGAAGGATAATCAAGAATCTGCTTAAATTTTGGCAAATGACCTTTTGTGAGCTATTAAGTCTTATATGAAAAGATAAATGGGTGTTATGGGGCAAAACATTTGCTAACATTTAGGTTTTTATTCTTCAAAAGTGTGGGTCACGGAGATTTTGTCAAGCTATAGGTTGTGCAAAATAGCTATAGGCCGATTTTGTATTGATTATACATGTAAAAAAACATTTTCTTTGATTGAAAGAAAACTAACAAAAGAGGCAAAGACCACGAGGGTTTGCTGCCAATACCCCCCCCCCCCCCCCCCCCGAACCAACTGTAACTAGCGGAAAAGGGAAGACATCATCCCCAAAGAGAGGCGAATTTTTTCAACATGCATCCCTTTACATGACGGTGTCTGCACCAACCTGAAAAAAGACTCATTTCATTAAAACATATCTTGTTTGTGTATTTTCCTTTGATTTACACATTTCCCTTATACATGTAACATAGCCTGCTTTTGTAACTCAATCCAATCTTAGCTCACCTGTCCCGAAGGGCCAAGTGTGAGCTTTTGCCATCACTAAGCGTCCGTCGTCTGTCGTCGTCCGTCGTCTGTCGTCGTCCGTTACCTTTTAGAAACTTCTCTGAAACTGGGCACGAAGGGTTAAAATTGGCCCTAAGAATTTGATGTTTTTGTAATCAGGCCAAAATACTACAAATTTCACATAGAAATAGTCGTGATAAAACTATTAATACAAAATCACTTCTTTTTGGCACATGACATTAAAAATGACTAAAAAATGACCCATAAAGTATGCATTATTTGCATTGTAACGTCAGTTTTAGTCAAATTTTCAATAATTCTTAACAGTTTTTAACATAATTTACTTCGGCCGCCACCCCTGATCCAGAACGTTTTTGTGTCTAGGGATTCAATATCATCATTGGCAACTTTTGGTTACAGAACATTTTTGATCCTAGGTTACGGCCAAGGGTTTCCTCAAGTTTTTAAGTCCGACAAATGTACAAATTCATCGTTTTTTGACAATATGGCTTGTCCAAAACGTGCTGACATTGAAGCCTAGAATGTACTCTAATGAAAAGATCTCTTTAACTTAGTAGTAAGGCTTTTGAAATAGATCCATTTAAGAACCAAATTATGCCCAATTTGATATTTTAAGATAAAGTTGAATTTCAAGGCCATATTTGGCCTAAAGTGAACCCTGTCCAACCAAACTTAGCCACAATCATCATTGGGGTATTTAGTTTTTAAAAATGTGTCCGACTACCACGCCTGCCAACCAATATGGCCAATTGCAACATGACTAAAAAAAGAACATAGACCTGGGTAAAATGCAAGTTTTGTATCTTGAAAACCACTCTACATAGAGAAAAATCAAACAACGGTAAACACGTTCCAAATGATGAGAATTACCTCTGTCTATTAACATTCAAACTCTCAGACGACTTCCTGTAGGAGTTATTACCCTATATGACGAATTTTACGATTTTATCTTGAAAACTATAATAGAAATGTAGAATCTTTAAAAATCAAAAATAATCAGCATGACAAGATCTGCAAATAGGTCAGCTTAAAAGTACATAAGTTTTTGTAGATGAATTTGTCAGTTGTTTTTTTTTTCTAGGAGTAATTGCCCTTAAATGACGATCTTAGCTTTTTTTTGTGTTTTGGGCAAAAAATATATATAGATGAAAGGGAGAAAATTTGTAAAAAAAAAAAGAAAAAAAAAGAAGATCAGCAATACAGTTTCAACAAAAAAAGATTTTAGTCTTGAATATATTCTAGTCAAAAATGTTGGAGAGTGTCCATTGATGAATATGCACATAAACCTAGGTGAGAGACACAGGCTCTTTAGGACCCCTAGTTTATTATAAATTCGTTCATGTAGTATCACAAATACCCTTAATCACACCAATATACAAGTTTAAACAATAATATTCAACAACATTTAGTTTATATTCGGTAAAATTAACTTTATTTAACAAAAGAAAAGGCAAGGATGTGGTCAACTATTCTCAATACATGTACATGTATTTTCAAACGATTCTGTGATGTAATCACTTGAAACAGACAACACAAGACATGGGTGCCGTGTCGTAGTACGGAGGACAAGGCAGTGAACCACACTTAGCTTCAACTTTAAAAAATAGTTTGCCATTAGCATTGGAACCACCTCCTTTTCGATACTGTGCCATGTGATCGACACATACGTATTCAGAACCTGCTGCATGTTTGTTTGCATTGGCAGCCAGTCTCCCATAATATTCTTGATGCCAGTTGCCATAACAATGTATTTTTCCTGGAATCATGTGCACAGATGACCTGCTGACGGCTCTACAAACAGCACAGGGAACATCATTATCATATTAACCTTGACCGAAATAATTGTCTTGATATTCTGCACCATGTATAGTCGCATCACTACGGAAGCCGATAAGGGCCATTCAAAAAAAAATTTTTATGTCGTAATTACGACATAACATGTCGTAATAACGACATCTCTTTGTCGTAATTTCGACATAACATGTCGTTAAAACGACATAACATGTCGTTCAAACGACATCGCTATGTCGTAATTTCGACATAACATGTCGTTATAACGACATCGCTATGTCGTAATTTCGACATAACAAGTCGTAATAACGACATCACTATAGCTATGTCGTAATTACGACATAGCTATGTCGTAAAAACGACATCGCTATATATATAAAAGAATATGTATTATGATTGCCAAGAGACTAAATGACACAGAAATAAGCAACTATAGGTCATCATAATGCCCTCAATAATGAGAAAAGCCCCCGCATAGTCAGCTATGAAAGAGGGACGAGAGATACCAGAGGGAGAGTCCCCGAAATGACAGCTGTTTAACAATTTAATTCAAACGAGTGAAAATAACGGTTTTAATAATGTACAAACAAAGACCGAAACACGAATATGTAACACAGCAACAAATGACAACCACTGAATTACAGACTCCTGACCGCTATCTGATAATAACGACAACCTTATAGTTTAACTTTTCACTTTTTGAAGCGATAGGAATTTCAAAATGGTCGCCAGTAAAGGCAAAGTTTGTATCGTAAACAAATTCATCTTTTTTTTTTTTTAGAATATTGAACACTTTATGCAATCAAGCTTAATTAAAATTATTCACTAGCACCTCAGACTTGCACATACTAGAACTTTATTTATAATCAAGTCAAATGAGACCCAGTTGAATAGGGGAGCAATTCAAGCTCCCTGGATCCTCTAATTATGTTTGGCATTGCAGGTTCTGAATAAGATGAATTTTAAGCTTTTCCCAATAAAGACTATGTTAAACTTTGGACTCATAGTGCTCAGACCCACGGATCTCTGTACCTTCATTTGTACACACTTGAATCTTAATGAACTACTGAGGCTTGAAGCAAATTATAACTGTATTGCTATTGTTGGTTCTTAATGAGATTCTTCAAGCGTCCTCCCCATTGAAGCCCTATTAAAACTTTGTACCCCAAGTTTTTTTAACCTCTGTTCCCCAGGACAACTATTCCTACAAACTTAGAGGGAGGTTTGGGATCCCGCTAACATGTTTAACCCCGCCACATTCTTAATGTATGTGTCTGTCCCAAGTCTTTAATTTACATATTTGTTTTTCGTTTATTTTTGTACATAGAATAGGCCGCTAGTTTTTCTCGTTTGAATTGTATTACATTTGTCATTTCGGGGCCTTTTATGGCTGACTATGCGGTATGGGCTGTGATCATTGTTGAAGGCCGTACGGTGACCTATAATTGTTAATTTCTGTGTCATTTGGTTTCTTGTTGAGAGTTGCGTTTTTGAACAAACCAGCGTATCCCAAAGCCTTGATAACCTCTGTAGGCCCCAAATAAGACGAAAAAACATCAAAATTGGAGAGAAAACAGAAAATAAATGGTTTCTAACCTCAGGGATATTAACCCTTGGCATGCTGAATTGTTATCAGAAATTGTCTAAATTTCGAGTATTTGTAAAAATATGGAAATGATATGCAAATGAGCTGTGCCCTGATGCTGATGCATACTGATTGCATTAAATCTAAGATAGCCAAGGGTTAATATCCCTGAGGTTAGAAACAATTTTTTTTCAGTTTTCTCTCCAATTTTGATGTTTTTTTTCCGTCTTATTTGGGGCCTACAGAGGTTATCAAGGCCTTGGGATACGCTGGTTTGTTCAAAAACGCAACTCTCAACAAGAAACCAAATGACACAGAAATTTACAATTAAAGTCACCGTACGGCCTTCAACAATGATCACAGCCCATACCGCATAGTCAGCCATAAAAGGCCCCGAAATGACAAATGTAATACAATTCAAACGTGAAAAACTAGCGGCCTATTTTATGTACAAAAATAAACGAAAAACAAATATGTAAATTAAAGACTTGGGACATACACATACATAAAGAATGTGGCGGGGTTAAACATGTTAGCGGAATCCTAACCCTCCCCTTAAGTTTGTAGGAATAGTTGCCCTGGGGAACAGTGGTTAAAAGAACTTGGGGTACAAAGTTTTAATAGGGCTTCAATGGGGAGGACGCTTGAAGAATCTCATTAAGAACCAACAATAGCAATGCAGTAATAATTTGCATCAAGCCTCAGTAGTTACTGTACATTTAGATTCAAGTGTGTACAAATGAAGGTACAGAGATCCGTGGGTCTGAGCACTATGAGTCCAAAGTTTAACATAGTCTTTATTGGGAAAAGCTTAAAATTCATCTTATTCAGAACCTGCAATGGAAATGCAGGACTTCATAATTTACACAAATCTGTACATGCCAAACATAATTAGAGGCTCCAAGGAGCTTGAATTGCTCCCCTATTCAACTGGGTCTCATTTGACTTGATTATAAATAAAGTTCTAGTATGTGCAAGTCTGAGGTGCAAGTGAATAACTTTAATTAAGCTTGATTGCATATAGTGTTCATTATTCTAAAAAAAAAAGATGAATTTGTTTCCGCTACAAACTTTGCCTTTACTGACAACCATTTTGAAATGCCTATCGCATCAAAAAGTGAAAAGTTAAACTATAAGGTTGCCGTTATTATCACATAGCGGTCAGGAGTCTGTAATTCAGTGGTTGTCATTTGTTTGCTGTGTTACATATTCGTTTTTCGGTCTTTGTTTGTACATTATTAAAACCGTTATTTTCATTCGTTTGAATTAAATTATTAAACAGCTGTCATGTCGGGGACTCTCCCATTGGTATCTTTCGTCTCTCTTTTATAGCTGACTATGCGGGGGCTTTTCTCATTATTGAGGCCATTATGATGACCTATAGTTGTTAATTTCTGTGTCATTAAGTCTCTTGGCAATCATAATACATATTCTTTTATATATATATATAGCGATGTCGTTATTACGACATAGCTATGTCGTTATTACGACATAGTGATGTCGTAATAACGACATGTTATGTCGAAATTACGACATAGCGATGTCGTTATAACGACATGTTATGTCGAAATTACGACATAGTGATGTCGTTATAACGACATGTTATGTCGAAATTACGATATAGCGATGTCGTTATAACGACATGTTATGTCGAAATTACGACATGCTATGTCGTAATTACGACATAATTTTTTTTTTTAATGGCCCTTATCGGCTTCCGTACATCACCGCCTGGTGAGTCGTCTTTAATAAATTCAGGATTGTTTGGCAAACACACATAGTTTACAGCAGAGCCTGTGTAACCATACCAGCAGCCACCAGCAATCCCTTCATTCATAAAAGAATAGATTATGCACACAAATATGTTGTAGAAGACTATATATGTTGCTCTCTAAATGTAATGTTGTCGTGGGTTGCTGTCTGATTGACATATATCCAACATTTCTTTTAATTAAGTGAGTACCCAACACAAAAATACACTAAAATAGATTTGGCTCGTTTCATAAAATTTTACAAAATATTTACTTAAACCTGTTGACAAAATTCTAAAAATTTCAAGAAATTTGAACCACACAATTTACAGGAATAATTTCATTGGATATATATCAAAAATTTGACTTACACTAATTTTGATCATTGAGAAGCTTGATTTATTTTTATAAATAATATGGGATTAAAACTTTCGTCAGTTTTTTAAAAAGAGTGTTCTGTACCCCTTAAAATTAAGGATGTTACGTTTTCTCCTATTTTTTTTTTTTTTTTTTTTTTATTATAAATAAATTTGGTGAGCTTGTTCCTAGTTCTTTATTTGTACAAATTCCATTATCTACGTTTACTGTATTGACGGCATAGGTCAATATCCTTGATGAAATTAATTGTTTGCATATCACCATAAACCGACGTCAAAAGTTGACTTAATTGTTTTGTCTTATATTCAGGAAAGCAGATTCTGCAACTTCAACTTGCGCATTTTTTTCTCGACTTTTATTCTAGAATTTTTTTCATATTTTAAACGTTTTGTGGTAAATTAAAAAATTTAAAGAAAGACGTTTTGCCTATTGCAATTGACTTTAATTTGTTTGGTTTTGTTTGATTGTTTTGTTTTTCACAGTACAATATCATTTTCTATCATAAATTACCAAGATGAATACGTAATAGTATATTTGTAAGCTAGCCTTCTAACAAATATGAATACAAAATAAATGTATATATAACAAGCGGGATAGTATAAAGTGATATATGTGCCTCAAACTTGCAGAAAGTAACAATAATGTGAACCCAGATTCTGACCTTTGTAATATCATAATGTACTCTGTAATGTTCGAACTGACAATCTAAATCAATGCATTACAAGAATCCAAAAGTATATGATATTTCTGCTACTTGAAAAAAAAATATTCGTGTGAATGGTGGTAAGAAAAATAGAAAAGAAAATTTCGATTGTTTAGTTTTCATGACAATAAACCATGACGATGTATCATTTTTCATGTTTTGTACATGTATAAGCACACTAAAATATTGTTATTGTTATGACTTGAAAAATTATTAAAGCTTCTTTTAGAATAAATGTTGTTATTGTTTTGCTGTGGGTAATGTTTCTACCAAAGAAATAAACTAAAATAAAATCGAATACATACGAAGCAAAGACTGTACCTAAGCATTTTATGTATGGTCCGCGGAAATTGAGTGTAATTTTAACACAGCTGCGATGTTGAGCCTCATTTCTAAATAACGACCTATTTGAATCAAATATAATATAAAGTCCATATTGTGCTTGTGGCGCTCCGCGTGAAGATTCATTTCATTTTTTCTTTAATTGCAATAAATACACCGATATAAGGAACGATCTATTAACCAACATTCATCGTCTACAAGTGACAATAAATCTACAGTTGCTCACTGAGGGTAGCCAAACTTTAACATGCGAGGAAAACTGTGAAATCTTTAAAGAAGTCTTTAAAAATACAAAAAAATCAAAAAGATTCCTTGTAGTTTATTCAAATAAGATATGAATAAACAAAAACACCGTGTCCACAGAATTTCATTTATTTTTTATTTTTTATTTTTTTTTCATATTTATATTATTTCCTATTTTTTTTTTTTTTTTTGTCTTTTATTTCTAATATTTTTTTTCTCTTTTTCTCAATTCTCTATCCTTTTCCATGTTAATTGTGTTAGGCTTTTTTTTTTTCTTCTCAGACTGTGCAAATGCCTCATTTTAGTATTACCTTTAATATATATCTACTGAACTCAAATATTACAATAACAATTATACAGAGCATGCACAGTAACTGTGCATGCTCTGTATAATTGTTATTGTAATATTATGTAAAGAAGAAGACTTCATAAGTTGGTTAAACTTGTGTACGATCCTTTTTGTAGCTTTGAGCAAATAAAATTGTTATAAAATCGAAATTGTTCTTTCATTTTGTAAACTATCTATATACACTACGTTATTATAATATCAAACAGATGTTTATCTTTTCTTATTCATTTGTATTTCTTGGCTTTATGCATTTTCTTTATTGTTAAATGGGACATAATGTCACCTCCCCTGTACTAATTAGTTAAATCACCTGTATAAACTAATTCTGTTCCGTTAGATGGACAATCCTCTCTTCCCCATCTGGTATAAACAGATCCTACAACTAATGCAAATTCAAAATAAAAATATAATGAAATTTACAGGATGTAAAATCTCAATTCAAAATGTAAACATAATGAAAAGGGTGCAAAATCTCAATTCAAAATGTAAATATAATGAAAAGGGTGTAAAATATCCTGACATCCGTAATACTAGTACATATATATTACCAAAATTATACACTTCGTCAATTATGTCAATCCACACTTTTTTGGGATTATTTTACAACCACTGGATCGATACCACTACTGGTGATTTATTGTCCACGAGGATATCACCAGTTCAAGAATCAGCAATTTTGGGTTGACATGAAATATCATTGATATTGAATTATCCAATACACTAACGTTTTCTACCCAAGGCATAGATTTCTGAGCCACTTTTGTCACAACGTTTTCGGTATTTTCGGTTTCTAATTAACAAGATTAATGCTCTTTTAAAACAATTTGGCCTTCAACCTGTTTTGATTCGAGCGCTAGCCTACTTGTGAGTCTGATGTACACGAATTGCGCGTCTGTCGTATCTATTATAAACTTGGTATCTGTGGTGAGATTTTTGTGTATAGAATCAATTAAAAAGGAAAATATATAGTTTTACAAATTAAATGCATTGCACAGTCAGCAATGAATGTTTCATCTGTCTTTCTGTTTATGCGTATAATATATTTTTTTCGTTTTTAGAAACTCGCTGATCTGCGTTTCAAGATAATGAACACTAATTATAACATTTCGAACCCTAAAACGAATCTTAAATATCGAAACTTTTTAAACCATCATGTGAAAAAGCAGTTATGAGTCTTATGTAGACAAATAGCGCGTCTCACGTATCAATTATAAGTTGGTATCTGTGATGAGATTGTTTTGTATATGTTCCGGACAATATGCGTATTTGAACCATACGTGTATGGTCATGACCATATGCGTATATACTCATATGGTCCGACCATTTTTGCATGGTCTTTATTAATTTGTCTTTACGAAACACAATATCGATATGTCGACTCCAGAAATAACTATATGAACTGTTAAGCAAGAAGTCAACTGTTTTACTCATTTAATTTAGCAATTGGAGGACTGAACCCTCATTTTTTATTTTGGTGTTTCATTTTGTTTTTTGTAAATTAAAATTTCTTAAACATTTCAAATTAATTTTAGATATCTAACTTGTTCATGCTCCTCATTATATGATTTACAATTACAGTAGTTTATACGTATTGACCCCTATTCTTCGGTAGAAACCACTGTAAATGTAAGATTGTATGAATGAGAGTATGAACACATCAGTTAAGTGAAAATAAATTAGAAGAAATTATAGAAAATCTTATCTAAACGCCGGGGAAAAGAAAACAAAGTGTCCATGCCCCAAAACACCTGTGGATTCACGTACGGACGAAACTGTCGACAAGATAAAGGTGTTTAAAAATTAATTCTAGATAGCGAAGGCACGACAACAAATATACAAAGATTCAGACAATATGTAACAAAGATAAAGGATTTCGGTTAATAACTTGTGACGATTTTTGTTCAGAGAACGAGTTGTGTCTGTTAAGGAAGTTTGATTTTTTTCGAACTATACTTATATGATCTGAATACTCATATGGTCCGGCCCGTTAATAACAAAACGAGTATGTACTCATATGGTCCGACTATACGCGTATGGTCAGACCATATGAGTATACCCATACGGTCATGACCATACGCTTACGGTCCAAATACTCATATGGTCCGGAACATATATATATAGAATCAGTTAATTGAAAGTATATAGTTTTACAGATTAAATGCATCGCACAGTCAGTTTAACAGATACAATGTATTGCTCCAAACGTTATATATAATATATGGTGTCAATCAAGACATCTTGATAATGTCAGCGAATTTTTTGTTTGAATCAGAGTGATTTTTCTCAAAGTTAACCCGAATAATTCAGTCCCTCCCTTAACGACTGAATTATTCGGGTTATCTCAAAGTACGCGTTATCTCTCCTAAAACAAAATACTTGTATCTACGTCGGTCATTGATTTAATGATACAAAGCAGGACCAATTTTTTCAATTTGTCTTTTAGTTTTGAGTGGGGTATACTTGTGTAAGGGTAGAAAAGTCAAATGTTTTAACACTATTGCAAGAAGAGGAAAACATGGGTTATGTAAATATCTAATCATAAAACTTCACGAGAGTCTGAAATGGAGGGAAACATGCTTTTCAATTACAACGATGAGAAAATATTTCACTGGTTTTAATAACACAGACACTGGAAAACGACAAAGCAGAAAATACAACACTCAAAACTTCTATCAAAAGCACCTTTAAAACAAAAGCTATTGTCAGTTTGGTGAACTCATGTGTTCCGTAAGTATATGCAGATCCTGCGCGATCAGTAGTATGCGTCTTGTTGCTATTAAAAATCTGTGATAAGTCGCATAGACGTTTATGCGACAATGGAGGACAAGAAGAAGATATTGTGACTAAGACATGTGGCATATACCTGAGGCCATGACTAAGACATGTGGCACATACCCGAGGCCAAGAATAACTCATGTGGCACTTACCCGAGGTCATGTCTAAGACATGTGACACATACCCGAGGCCATGACTAAGACATGTGGCACATACCCGAGGGCAAGAATAACACATGTTAACAAGGGAAAGATGTGACTAAGACATGTGGCACATGCCCGAAGCCAAGAATAACACAATTAAACAAGAGGAATACATTTAGACTAAGACATGTGGCACATAACCGAGGCCAAGAATAACACATGTTACAAGAGGAAGATATTGTGACTAAGGCATGTGGCACATACCCGAGGCCAAGAATAACACACGGCCAATATACTACTTATCGCTATTTGGAAATCTGCGCCTGTTGACCCGAGATTCTGTGCCGCTTGAACTATTGACGTCATACAACAATCACTTTTCCATTGTGGCGTCAGATATTTTGTATTATGACGTCAAAATATTACGGGAACCTTTGTGATGTCCAGTAATGGCGGACAAATAGCGATAAGGTGTATTAACACATGTTAACAAGAGGAAGATCATGTGACTAAGACATGTGGCACATACCCGAGGACAATATTAACACATGTTAACAAGAGAAAGATATTGTGATTAAGACATGTGGCACATACCCGAGGACAAGACTAACACATGTTAACAAGAGAAAGATATTGTGATTAAGACATGTGGCACATACCCGAGGACAAGACTAACACATGTTAACAAGGGAAAGATATTGTGATTAAGACATGTGGCACATACCCGAGGACAAGACTAACACATGTTAACAAGAGAAAGATATTGTGATTAAGACATGTGGCACATACCCGAGGACAAGACTAACACATGTTAACAAGGGAAAGATATTGTGATTAAGACATGTGGCACATACCCGAGGACAAGACTAACACATGTTAACAAGAGAAAGATATTGTGATTAAGACATGTGGCACATACCCGAGGACAAGACTTACACATGTTAACAAGAGAAAGATATTGTGATTAAGACATGTGGCACATACCCGAGGACAAGACTAACACATGTTAACAAGGGAAAGATGTGACTAAGACATGTGGCACATGCCCGAAGCCAAGAATAACACAATTAAACAAGAGGAATACATTTAGACTAAGACATGTGGCACATAACCGAGGCCAAGAATAACACATGTTACAAGAGGAAGATATTGTGACTAAGACATGTGGCACATACCCGAGGCCAAGAATAACACACGGCCAATATACTACTTATCGCTATTTGGAAATCTGCGCCTGTTGACCCGAGATTCTGTGCCGCTTGAACTATGGACGTCATACAACAATCACTTTTCCATTGTGGCGTCAGATATTTTGTATTATGACGTCAAAATATTACGGGAACCTTTGTGATGTCCAGTAATGGCGGACAAATAGCGATAAGGTGTATTAACACATGTTAACAAGAGGAAGATCATGTGACTAAGACATGTGGCACATACCTGAGGACAATATTAATACATGTTAACAAGAGAAAGATATTGTGATTAAGACATGTGGCACATACCTGAGGCCAAGAATAACACAATTTAACAAGAGGAAGATATTGAGACTAAGATATGTGGCACATAACCGAGGCCAAGAATAACACATGTTAACAAGAGGAAGATATTGTGACTAAGACATGTGGCACATACCCGAGGCCAAAAATAACACATGTTAACAAGAGAAAGATATTGTGCATGTGTCACATACCCGAGGCCAATATACAACTTATCGCTATTTTGAAATCTGCGCCTGTTGACCCGAGAATCTGTGCCACTTGATCTATTGACGTCATACAACAACCACTTTTCCATTGTGGTGTCAGATATTTTGTATTATGACGTCAAAATATTACGGGAACCTTTGTCATGTCCAGTAATGGCGAACAAATAGCGATAAGGTGTATTAACACATGTTAACAAGAGGAAGAGCATGTGACCAAGACATGTGGCACATACCCGAGGACAATATTAACACATGTTAACAAGAGGAAGATATTGTGACTAAGACATGTGGCACATACCCGAGGCCAAGAATAACACATGTTACATGTAACATAACGGTTACCTAATAATTATTTCAAGCGTAAAACTGTCTAAAACTTTCAACTTTATCACTTTGATCCCTTATGGCAGTCGCTTTCTTTCAAATGAGAAAAAAACACTTTATAAATTTTGTGCGTATCTGCTTGAAACAGAAAATGGAATATTAACAATTGAAAAGTTTCAATATCAAGCTAGGCAAGATCGCCTTTTTAAAATCAAAAGCCTCGGTTACTATTTTCAAAAAGTTTACACCAAATACGAAGTGATGGTATACCACAGTATTAAACAATGTATAAACAAACAGCAACGTGACGCTATTTTACGGCTTTTAAAAGGTACAAAAATTGTACTTCCCATAGGGTTATAGATGATAGAAAAAACATCCTTTGGAGTATACAATTACTAGTATTTCAAAATAAATTAATACGAAATGAAAGGACGTTTTTATGTAAAACTTACCAGAGTTTGAAGTCATCATACTTTGTTTTATTGTTGCAAGTTCTAGTTTATTTTTGGTAAGTTCCAATTTATTGTTTGCAAGCTCCTGTGACGTTGTGGCAAGCTCCTGTTTTATTTGAGTGACATCAACCGATTTTGTGCCAGATCATGTTCTAGTTGTAAAGTTTTCTGTTCGATAGATTGGATAAAATCATATTTGTCTGAGAGACAACAAGAAGTTCAATACGCTAACATTAAATCTGATAAATCGTTTGTAAAATATGGAGTGCTCTATTTTAGGTCCTCTGTTATTTTTAATTCATATAAATAATTTACCACTTCATGTTAAACAATCCGACATGGATTATGCTGATGATTCAACATTGCATTTTCATAATAAAAACATTGAAAAAATAAACAGCATATTGCAAAATGATTTAAATGCTATACAATCTTGGTGTAACAATAACAGTATGAAAATTAATGCACAAAAAACAAAGTGTATGAAATTGGGTTCAAAACAAAAACTTACACAACTATCAGAATTATGTATTACCGTCAATGAAACATGTATTGAAAATGTTCATTCTTTCAAATTACTTGGAATTGACATTGATGAAAATTTAAGCTGGGAGGATCATGTTGATCGTATATGCAAGATTATCTCATCTAAAATATCACTTTTGTTTAAAATTAAAGTATATTTGCCTATACACACAAGACAACTATTTTATAATGCATATATTCTACCATATATAGACTATTGTAGTTCAGTTTGGGGAAATTTATTACAAAAAGATTCAGATAGAATCATAAAACTTCAAAAAAGAGTAGCAAGAAATATACTTGAATGCGATATTTCAGTTCCATCTAATTTTATGTTTTCATCTTTAAAATGGCTATCTTTTACAAAAAGAATAAAATACCAACAATCAATTCTAATGTATAAAATTGTAAATAGACTAACACCTGATTACTTAACAATGCTAAATATTAATGATGTGCAACACCACAACTTACGATCTGTCTCTAATAATGATCTATTTGTTCCAAGACCAAATACAAACTTTTATAAAAAATCTTTTTATTATTCTGCAACAAAGGTATGGAATAATTTACCACTCAAAATAAAAAATTGTTGAAATGTGGAATTATTTAAGAAACATTGTTATAATCATTTTCTTGAAAATTTTATGCAAGTCGAATAATTTGTTTTCTTTCTTTTATTGTAAGAATAAGAAAATTTAATCAAAACTTTACCAATTATTGCCATTTATTGCCATTTGTATGTTTGAATGATTGAATTGTGTATATACAAGTAATATATATTGTATTTTAATATATGAATCGAATGTATGAATGTTAACTGTATACATGTATTTTGTTTGAGGGCCTCAATGAAAATTAGACTACTTCTAATTGAGTTACCCTCTTTAAATAAAGAATTTATTATTATTATATTATTATAAAGATTGTACCTCTAGAGACATTCCCTTCAATTCAGCCATCACACCCGGATCGTTTGAAAGGAGTCGTTTATCAAACGCGAAAGACCTTAAAAATAAAAAGGAAAAACAAACAAAGTATTCATAATATGACATTGTCTTACTTAGTCTAGTCTTCCTTATTTCTCTATGTAGTTTTCTCTACGTATTTATAATGAAAATCTTATTCAAACTTAGACTATTGTTGGGAGACGAGAATTAGCTTATAATTATATATATATTCTTGTTCCAATCATGAACACTTTTCACGAACATTATAATATATAATGCACGTTTTGCGGTAGAGTTTGCATTCCTGAATTTAGTCGCCATAGAAATGTTGTCCCATGTTTTATAATGTTATTTTCTTAAACTTTCAGTCGTTATCTTTTAAAGAAAAATTAAAACGAATACTTGTTTTCCTCATGTTTTAGATTTTGAATATTTTGACATAGCCATGTTTGAATTTATACTGCAACAGTTACTTCCTTAAGTGTCGATTTCCCCTTTAATCTGAAATGTAAGCATTCGACCGACCAGTATTATAATTGTCAATAATATTCATACATGTAGATATCGATGTGTGACAAAATAATATTGATTAAAAATTAGTTTTTGCAAAGGTTGTAATAGAACTATAACAATTTTACAATTCATTGAAAAGATGAAGTAATTTACGTCTGTGATAAAATCAGAAGTTGCAAACAACAGATTCGGAATTAATGTTGAATAGAATTGATCATAGAAAGTTGTAAAATAGCAAAAATACCGAACTCCAAGGAAAAGTCAAAACGGAAAGTCCTTGATCAAATGGCAAAATCAAAGCTCAAACACATCAACGAATGGATAAACTGTCATATTCCTGACTTGGTACAGGCATTTCCTTGTGTAGAATATGGTGATATAAACCAGCTGGCTTTATAGCTAGCTAAACGTCTCACTTGTTTAACAGTCGTATATAATTCCATTATATTGACAACAATGTGTGAGCAAAACAAATAGACATAATAGGTAAAAATGAAGTTGATGGAATATTTGTTGGATAACTAAAGTTCAGTTGGTGTCAAAC